TTGTTATTAATTCAGATATAATTAATTAACAATTTATTAAAGGAAAGTCGCTGAGATATTGACATACATCTCTTACAGAAAAATACCTCCTTATTTCTCAAAAACAAAACATTGCACTTTATTAATACTAATAAAACATGGTTAGTTTAGATAATTAAAGAAATAAAAATTTATAATTCATATATTTGTGACTTATATAAAATTAGCTAAAAACAAATTCCATAAATGTGACAATAAAATTCTTACGATTTTTTTTTGCAAACTGCGTAATTTAAATAATAGTGGGTTATTATTATTGATAATATTACATCGTTTTTAAATATTTGTAGTTTTCTAAATCTGTTTTATTCATATTTTTTTTCCACACAATATATACGTTTTAAATATATTTAATTTTAAATATAAAATCGGAGTACAGCATAAATCGGCGCACTTACCTGTAAGATATATTATATCATAAGTTGATGTAATAATAAAAAAACTATCGCACATATGTTCGCATCTTGCAACAGCATAAAGTATGATTATAAATCAATAAAAAAGTTTTACATTAAAGTGAATGGATTTTATAAAATATTGTATTCATTTATTTATACATAGTTATTTTATACAAATGATTCCTATGAAAGAAATAGTAAAAATATGTGGCAATATTGAGCTGCCTATTGTGATGATATTACTGCCTACATTCTAGTTTGAATTTATATATCTGTTTTCTGTGGTTGAACTAGTGTATACTTTTGAAACTTAAAGTGGCATAAGTGTATGTTTGATATTTGGCCAAAGTGAGAAAGAAAAGTGCAGTTAAGTGCATGAACAAGAAACAGATCTTATGTTCCTAAAGTTTTATGCTTAGCTTCTATTTATAAATATAAAAAATATATTTTAAGAACAAAGTGATACGACGGTATCGACGATCTTCCTGTACTTGAAAATAGTATATAAATGTGTGTGTGTGTGTGTGTGTGTTTTATACAATAAAATAACTCTTAAATTAATTTTTATTTTAAAAAATATTAGTATTTTTATTTCATTTGTTCTTAATAATAAATTTTTTTTTTCATTAAGAATCAAAAGTAATATATATTTATACATGCGCGCCAATCGATTTTCTTTAAATAACACTCACCGCACAATGTATGTATGATTGCAAAATGTGCGAAGCTCCAAAAAATGTTATAAGTAATTTATATAGGTGTCAATATAAAGTAAAATTTTGAAATTAACTCAACTTTCAATCTATCTCAATTAAACCGTTGAAATATTAACTATTAACTATTATATCGCATGTTATGTTACGCATTTATGCGTCATACATTTAATTATGCGTCATTTATGTCAAAACCTCATTCTCTTGACATGCAATACGTATAGTATATTCACACAACACAACACACACACACACACACACACACACACACATATTCGCGTCAAACTATATCATATTGAAACAAGAAATGTTTTGAAATCTTATATATATATATAATACTTTCAAATTATTACGACATTCTTCACCATGACCTTAATTAAATCATAATATTTGTCCTCCTATCTTAAACAAAACTGGTCTCGACCTGTACAGCTTCATGTAACACATAATCAGAAATCTATATCGGTTAAGTCATATGCTGATTCTTGATATAATACTATTACACATTTTCACTAGCGGTAGGTTATGATTTAAATAAAAAAAAATTTTGTTAATGAACCAAAAACTTGATATTTAAAACCAGTTTACAGTAAAGCCAGTTTATAATAAAGTTTTATTATCGGATTTCAATACACAGTGAAAGCGTATAAAATATAAAAATGTATTGAATCTATGCTCACAACTGTTTAATTACAAAAATTTTAAAAATATGTAAAAGTGAAGAAGAGAGTGAGAATGAGAGAGAGAGAGAGAGAGAGAGAGAGAGAGAGAGAGAGAGAGAGAGATTAGGACTAATTTATAACAAAATATACTTATAATATATAAAATATAATAATTATATTTAAAAAGGCTAATTTTATATACATAATATAATATAATATAATAATAA